GTGGCTACCAGAAAGCTTCTATTCCTAGCTACTCTCATCATTGTCCAGTGAGGTTATAAACAGTGGCCATGGTAGCAGGAATGATGGTTATGCATGGGCTCAACAACATAAACTTCTCACCAAGGCTGACCTGGCTATAGCTACTGATGAGTGCCCAACCTGCCAGCAGCAGAGACCAACATTCATTCCAGGTTATGGTACCAGTCTGCAGGGTGATCAACCTGGTGGACAGTTGATTACACTGGATAGCTGTCCCTATGGAAGGGACAGTGCTTTGTACTTAGCGAAATAGATACTTACTCTGGTTACAAATTTGCCTTCCTTATGTGCAATGCCTCTGCCAAAACTACCATCAATGGACTTTTTGTTTTATTCAGGCCCTCATCAGATTGGGTGATGCTCACTTACATTGATGAGAACATTATTCTTAATGCTCCAAACAGCATCTTTATCTGCATAGTCTGCTTATTCAAATGCTAATCTCTTCTGAAAACATCCTCACAGACACGCTCAGAAATAACATTTTATTAGTTATATATGTATACCATAGCCCAGTCAAATTGACAGACAAAATTAACCATCACAACACATTCTTTCTTTTCACTTGGGTAAATTCATGAGTGTCATGGCTAGGTAATATAGTGGGAGAGTGTTTAAGCCTTTAAGAAACCAGCAAACCATTTTCCAAAGTGGTGGCATTATTTTACATTACCGCCACATGTATGCAAGTTTCAACTGGTCATCATTCTTGACAACACTTAATATGGTAAATATGTGTTTTACATTTAGTGATCTTAGTGGTTGTGTAGGGGCATCTTAGTTTTTTGTAACTTGTATTTTCCTAATAACTAAAGATGTTGAGCCCATTTTCATATCTGATTTTCCTTAAATTTACCTGCATTGTGAAATGTCTCTTCAAATCTTTTCCCTATTTATATTGCATGTTTTGTACTCTTATGTTTGAGTTGTAAAAGGTTTCCACACATTCTAGATACAAGTATTCTGTGTATGTCTACAAGTATTTTTAATAGTCCTTAAATTGCATTTTTACTTTTTTAAAAGTTTATTTCCAGCCCTGAAAGAACAAAATTATTAAACGAAGTCATAAAATACAGCAGTTAATGTCAATGTATAACAATTAAATAATTGAACGGGATTAAAATAAAAATAAAAGGCATTTTAAAATTTGAAGACAACAGAAAAGACAAACCACTTTCACTTAATTCCATTTCTATCAAAACAAGGAAAAAAAGCCAATGTGTTCCAACCAAAGATGTTGAATTCTAAACATAACTGTTTCTCTTAATAAAGAATAAAATTATGCTTGACAGAATTATTATACTTTTCTTTCTGCCTCTGTCTTGGCAGCATTCTAGAAGTGTGAATGAGAAAACTTCAGTTCTTTCAAGTCCAGGCCAGTGCTTGCTGCTTCTTTGCAACTCCAACCTGGACTACCCAGCATCTTTGCCAGAGTGTTCAATAAGTGTGTTGAGAAAAAAAGAATGTGTGTATATATATATTTTTATATACACACACATACACATGCTATCAAAAAACTGATTTCACCTGTTTAAATACCTACTGTGGGAGCAGTGGGGACAGGAAGACAATCTGCTTTTTATATTACTACAAAGTTCCACTATTAAAAAAAACCCAAATGAGTATTAATCTGGATTTTAACTATAACCTATAATGATATTTTGCACTGAAATTTCACTAAATATGGATCTCAGTATACTTAAAAAGATTTTGACTCAAAAATTGATGCAAATTCTTTATTCACCTATTTTTTTCTAATTTTAGCAACTACTTGATCAGATCTAAAATTATTCTGGCTGGAATACAGTATATACGAGCAAACATGTATTTTAAGTGAGCCCTATAAAGAAATACCCATAGGTAGTTTAAAATTACCTGTTAAAGGCATAGGCTAATTTAAAATTGGTGGTTACTACATAAATTGTAAGCAACTTAACATTTATATATTAAAGGGAAAAGAATTAATATTATGTGCTAGGCACCGAACACATGAAGATAGAGTTGTATTAGCCTTGGTGTATTAGGATACACAATTACTCATTTACTATTCTAGGTAGAATGAAATGTTCATTGTTTCATAGTTTCCCACTTTTAACTGTCCCTAAAAGCAGCAGAAGACAAAAGATAAAGAAGACAACTTTAAGACTACCAGAGAGTCTAAAATATAATAAATAAGTACTATAGTAATACTGTCTTAACAACATGAGAGGACTATTAAGGTAACTTTCAGATTTAAATGGGAATTTTCATTCTAAAGTGATGACAAAATGGGTGACTATAAAAGGCACTTATTTAGAAAACATGAGGCCAGGCTCCGTGGCTCACATCTGTAATCATAGTACTTTGGGAGGCCGAGGTGGGCAGATTGCCTGAGCTCAGGAATTGGAAACCAGCCTGGGTAACATGGTGAGAACCCATCTGTACTAAAAATACAAAAAATTAGCTGGGTGTGGTGATGCACACCTGTGGTCTCAGCTACTCAGGAGGTTGAGGCACTAGAATCACTTGAACCCAGGAAGCAGAGGTTGCAGTGAGCTGAGATCACAACACTGCACTTCAGCCTGGGTGACAGAGTGAGACATTGTCTCAAAAAACTAAAAATAAAAAATAAAAATCATTAATCTTGATTCAGATATAATTGTTCCTTCATCAAGTTCTGAAGGTTTTAATTTAAAATTAATACATCACAATTCTGTATTGCTTTTAAGATTATTTTGTTTAAAAATGTTACATTTCAAAATTAAACAAAGTATATTTTTATTAGAGATTAGTTTATCCAGGTAACTTAAGAATAAACCACAGTGTAACTCCCTTAAACAAAGAGTCAGGTTTTAATGACAAAAGTCATTTGTCAGCAATGGACGTGCAGGTAACTATCAAAGAAGTTGTAACTGTAAATCCCAAACCGCTTCAAACAATTGAAAAGCCCTTTGTTGAGTCACAAGCCTAAAACAAGGCATAGGCACATAGTCAATGAATATGGTCTTTGACTTAGGATGGAAGTGCCTTTGAGTGCATGATGGTCACAGTCTTGTCATCTAGTTGGTTTTCTATTTCACTGGTAGCATCTTATCATAATTCATCCAACTATTTACAAAGAATGTTAAAATCCGAAACTCAAGTAGCACTGCAGCTTTCTACCAGAAATAAACCAGTTTTTGTAATTCAGTAATAGCTGGAGAAGGCCAATATAGTCCAGAGAAAAATGCAATCAAGAATTATATTGAAAACAGAGACCACTAAGTGCTCTAGATATGTTTCATTAATTATTTTACTCATTTCTCTGAAAACTTTCCTCCCTTATCAATAGAAAAACAGTCACTTCTCTCCTTATAAGTGTATCTTAACATAGATACAGTGGGAATAAAATAATAGAGATAAAATCCTGCTAGTTTCCCCAATGTATACTACAACAGTAAAATTATTTTTATTCATGATTTGTTCTACTGCAGGATGGCAAGCAGGGGTGAAGTTAATGGGGGGAAGGAGATGGTGGGAACAAAATGCCAGAAGCAAACCACAGACATTTTAACAATACCTACTCCAAAAGCAAAACAAGGTATAAAGGAGAGAAGGAGAGGAGAGGAAAGAAGAAAAGAGAAAGGGAGGGAAAGGAAGAAGAAAGGTCACTCAAATAATTATTGCTACAGGTGTCAGACCTTTTAGAATCTTTAAAAGAAAAAAAATATTGCTATCAACATGCACATTTCATTTTTCTTTCTCTAGTTTTTTACATTAATATTCTCTGCTTATTTGAAAAAAAAAATAAAACTAATGTAACTCAACATCTCAAATGATGTATATAATCACCAAGAATATATGATAAATAAATAAATACTATATATTATCATAGATAATAAAACACTGATAATGATCCAGGACAATGCGGCTAGTCTCTGCAGTTGATTGGTTATCAGCAGCTTCTGTGTAACACTAACGTTTCTTTCATGAATATAATCTCGTCTTACTGTATCAGAGTTCACCAAGGTTCACATCTCTCACTCTGCCTAGCTAGTCCAAACAGTTTTCTCCTTTTCTCCTTTAAATGGAAAAAGAAACTAATTTTAAATTCTGAAAATTCATTGGTTATTATTTGCTATGAGAGAGGAGTATCTGTGAGGTGAGAGAGGATTAATGAAAAACAAAAAGAACAAACCTAAACCTAAAATTGCAACATATAGAGAGTTAATTTCCAAAATGAAGTGGGGAAAGGAGAGAAGAGGAAGATAATGGCACTAACCAATGTCATATAGTGCAGGTTGGAACAAGAACAAATCACTTTGGTTACTAGAGCCAAACCTGAAGAGAAAACATGGAGAAGGAAAGACAAAATTGGAAGAATTCTATAGTCAACGGGAATTTTTTTATCACATGATTTATTTATAAATATAGATCATTAGTCTTCTCTATATACATGTAACAAATTCCAAACTTACTACCACGAAATTTCTAAAACTGACTTTTCCACGTTTTTTAAAAAAGGTAAAAATCACATACTTTTCGTCTCTTCCTTCAGGTCAGGTTCTGAACTAAAGTATTACATGTAACAACAGCTGGTCCTAAATTTATACAAAGTGAAACTATGTAGAGCTCCTTAATAGGAGCTACATAATTTCTATTACACTTGCCAAGGCTTGAGAAACTCAAAAGCAACTTAGAAACTCAAAAGCAACTTAGAAGGAGCAAGTTAAGGAAAAGGAAAGCTATGAAGAAGGGAAAGACTAGCAGATGAAACAAATACTCTGAAAAACTCGAATCTGTCATTCAAGTATTAGAAATACCTCAAAGGGGATAATGAATAGGATCTATTACAACAAAGTCAGCAAAGTAAAATGCAACTCACACATGATAAATGGCCCTGATAGGCTGTTTGTTAAAATACCTAAGGCTAGTGATTCAGTCCACAATTCCTTTTGGACCCTAAAGAAGGGGTTCATATGAAAGTCATAATTTCCTTTTCTCAATTTTCTCTTGGTTGTCTTCAGAGAATAGTCATTTGCTTCTTTCATCCAGGTTATGCAGACCATTTCTTTAAATCCCCCAAAGAGCAATAATTTTCATATACCAAAAGGCTTCTTTTAGAAAATGGAAAAAAGAATATTAGGCCACAGTAGCGATGTTAACAGTGACTCTTCATTTCCTCTTTAGCTGCCATAATCAATGGTGTCAAGCTAGAAAATGGTTTGGCCAGTTTCAGGAAAGGATGCTGTTATAATTCTTTGGCTGAACTTTTTTCCACATCCATTTCCAAACATCAATTTGAGAAATCCTGAAATATTGGGGAAAGTTTCTCTGGATTCTGAAGTCCTGGGCTTCCATTAGTTGCTATTAGGTACAAGGCCCTCAAGGGATTTTCACTGAGGCATAAAGACCTTCCTTCTTCCACCATCTCAATAGCCATGATACCCAGAGACCTTATGTCAACTTTAGGGCTGTAAGCTTTCTGTGTAACCACCTCTGGTGCCATCCAGTATGGCGTTTCAACCATGGTACTGCGTTTGCTCTGCTCAGGGGTGATCTGAGCACAGAAACCAAAGTCAATAAGTTTCACTGATCCTTCCATTCCCAAAAGTACATTGTCACTTTTGATGTCTCTGTGGATCACTTGATAAACATGTAAAAACTCCAATGCCTGTAAACACTCTCTGCCTACAGCAGCAATCTGTGCTTCATTCATGCAGGTTTCTGTTACAACATCAGTAAGTGACCCACCAGCAAGGTACTTTATTACCACAAACAATTCATCTCTTACCACGTAACTGTCCAAGAAGTTAACTATGTTGGGAGTTTTAAATTCTTTCATCACCAGAATCTCATTAATGATCAATTCCTTCTTTGGCTGTTTCTGTAAATTAATCTCTTTGATAGCAACCTCCTGTCCCAATGCAACGTCAGTATCAGTGAAAACTGTACCAGAAGCCCCTTGTCCAAATTTTTCATATCTTGTATATTTTTTCTTAGAGTCGCCTATGCTTACAATAGTTCTTAATTTCTCCATAATCTCTTCATCTGTCATCTTAGTCTACTTTTTCTGTTTGTCTGAATACTTGGCACCACTATCAACATTTGAATCACCAACTTGTGCAGGAACAGGGTCAATTACAGACCATGTGTAAATTGATTTCATATGATCTGGTCTTGGCTCAATAACAGGAGGAGCAGTCTCTTCATCATCATCATCTTCCTGTGTCACTACTGCTGAAGTTTTCTGATCCCTTGGCATTCAGTTCTGGTGTTCCGGAAGGAAATCCATCTTTCTCAGGAGGAGTAAAGCTCAGATATTTCTGCCTCACTGTATTGGAGTCATAGAACTTTAAGACATCCAGCACAGCCTGAGGATTCTTGTTTTGCTCTAATTTGGTGATATTGGAGGTCTGTAGTAATCGAGCCCACTGTTCTGGCATGTCAGTGAATTCTCCAGTAACAGCATCAAAGCCAACATGGATAGTGTATTCAAAATCAGATGGAGTAGAAATTTCTGACCCTTCCTTTTCTTTCTTTTTACTTCATTTCTCTGTGTCTGAGAACATAGAGATGATTTTATTCCTGGGCTTTATCTCCTCTGGAACAGAAGGCAAAGGTTTCAAAGTGTGATTGGCTGACAAAGAGTCTTTGCCTCCAGTGCTAAAAATGGTACTGCTCATTCACAGAGAAGGTGCTGGAGGCTTGCCTTCCAGTTCTTCATTATCAGGCAGGATTCAGAATTAAGAAATGGCCCCAAGCAAGCCAAGGTCCCTGCCACAGTGCCTTGGTCCCCAGGGAGGGGATGGGAAGGAAGGGGCTACTTTCTTAATAGTGTATTTTGAAAGCCAAATGATTTTAATTTTGATTAAGTTCAGTTTATTGATGTTGTTCTTATATAGTTTGCTCTTTTCGTGTCCTACTTAAGAAATCATTGCTAAACACAAGGTCAATAAAATCTTTCTTCTATGTCTTACTTTTTCTTCTAATAATTTTATAGTTTTAGTTTTCAAATTTAGGTTTATAATCCTTTTCAGTTACTTTTTGTATTTTTTCTTTTTTTTCTCACCCAAATTTCATCTTGATACTTATTGTGCATTGTACATAGTAATTGAAATTTACTACGCTATTAATAGTAATCCAATTGTATTCATAGTATTTATTTATTTATTTATTTATTTTTCGTGTTTTTCCCCTCTATTTTCTTTTTTTTTTT